TCAAAGATAATGGCCAATGGCTCTGCAATCACATCCGCCAACTCCTTTAGCACTCTCGGATGCAGCGCATCCGGCCCCATGGACTTTTGCTCGTCCAGCTTTTCTAAATAGTCCCAAACCACCTCTTTCTCCACAGAGGGTGGTCACCTCCTCCCCATGCTGTGCTGCCCAGTGCAGTAGTCTGGGAGCTGACCTTGTTCGTGAAGACAGAGGCAAAAAGGCATTGAGTACATTAGGTTTTTCCACATCCTCTGTCACTAGGTTGCCTCCCTCATTCAGTCAGTTGCCCACACTTTCCTTGACTTTCTTCTTGTTGCTAACATGCCTGAAGAAACCCTTCTTGTTACTCTTAACATCTCTTGCTAGCTGCAACTCCAAGTGTGATTTGACCTTCCTGATTTCACTCCTGCATGCCTGAGCAATATTTTTATACTCCTCCCTGGTCATTTGTCCAATCTTTCACTTCTTGTAAGCTTCTGTTTTGTGTTTAAGATCAGCAAGGATTTCACTGTTAAGCCAAGCTGGTCGCCTGCCATATTTACTATTCTTTCTACACATCGGGATTTCTACACATTGAGGTTATCCCTGTAACCTCAATAAGGATTCTTTAAAATACAGCCAGCTGTCCTGGACTCCTTTCCCCGTCATGTTATTCTCCCAGGGGATCCTGCCCATCAGTTCCCTGAGGGAGTCAAAGTCTGCTTTTCTGAAGTCCAGGGTCCGTATTCTGCTGCTCTCCTTTCTTCCTTGTGTCAGGATTCTGAACTCGACCGTCTCATGGTCACTGCCTCCCAGGTTCCCATCCACTTTCGCTTCCCCTGCTAATTCTTCCCGGTTTGTGAGCAGCAGGTCAAGAAGAGCTCTGCCCCTAGTTGGTTCCTCCAGCACTTGCACCAGGAAATTGTCCCCTACACTTTCCAAAAACTTCCTGGATCGTCTGTGCACCGCTGTATTCCTCTCCCAGCAGATATCAGGGTGATTGAAGTCTCCCATGAGAACCAGAGCCTGCGATCTAGTAACTTCCGTTAGTTGCCGGAAGAAAGCCTCGTCCGCCTCATCCCCCTGGTCTGGTGGTCTGTAGCAGACTCCCACCACGACATCACCCTTATTGCTCACACTTCTAAACTTAATCCAGAGACACTCAGGTTTTTCTGCAGTTTCATACCGGAGCTCTGAGCAGTCATACTGCTCTCTTACATACAATACAACTTCCCCACCTTTTCTGCCCTGCCTGTCCTTCCTGAACAGTTTATATCCATCCATGACAGTACTTCAGTCATGTGAGTTATCCCACCAATCATATTCCAATCACATCATAATTCCTTGACTGTGCCAGGACTTCCAGTTCTCCCTGCCTGTTTCCCAGGCTTCTTGCATTTGTGTATAGGCACTTGAGATAACTCGCTGATCGTCCCCCTTTCTCAGTATGAGGCAGGAGCCCTCCCCTTCTCGCGTTCTCCTGCTCGTGCTTCCTCCCGGTATCCCACTTCCCCACTTACCTCAAGGCTTTGGTCTCCTTCCCCCGGTGAACCTAGTTTAAAGCCCTCCTCACTAGGTTAGCCAGCCTGCTTGCGAAGATGCTCTTTCCTCTCTTCGTTAGGTGGAGCCCATATCTGCCCAGCACTCCTCCTTCATGGAACACCATCCCATGGTCAAAGAATCCAAAGCCTTCTCTCCGACACCACCTGCATAGCTATTCGTTGACTTCCACGATTCGACGGTCTCTACCCGGGCCTTTTCCTTCCACAGGGAGGATGGACGAGAACACCTCTTGTGCCTCAATTCTCAATTCCACGCGAATCAGGATATTTTTCTTCCTGTGTTCTTTCCTAAGCTGCACGCTAACAACAGGGAATGAATGCTCCACTCCCTGGATGTCAGATAAGCATTAGCCTTCTACATTGGAAGAACGAAGCCATTTCGAAAATCATTGCAACTCTTCATTGCAATTGCAGAGCGGATGAAAGGGCTTCCAGTCTGGTCCCAAAGGATCTCTTCTTGGATCATGTCCTGTATCCTGGCATGCTATGACTTGGCAGAGATACCTTCCCCCGTGCTGACGGCACACTCCACAAGGGCACAGGCATCCTCAGGTGCGTTCCTGGCACAAGTTCCTATTCAAGACATCTGCAAGGCAGCGATGTGGCCGTCGATCCACACCTTTACGTCTCACACTGCCATTACGCCGCAGGCTAGAGACGATGCAGCATTCAGCAGAACAGTGCTACAATCAGCGATTCCGTGAACTCTGACCTCGCCTCCTAGGTAAGACTTGGGAGTCACCTACTTGGAATCGACATGAGCAAGCACTCCAGGAAGAAAAAACGGTTACCTACCTCTTGTCATTGTTGATCGAGATGTGTTGTTCATGTCCATTCCACAACCCACCCGCCTCCCCGCTGTCAGAGTATCCGGCAAGAAGGAGCTGAAGAGGTGGGGGGTTGGCAGGGACCTATATACACCGCCATGAAAGCGCGACTCCAGGGGGCTCCACAGCTGACCTGATGGGTACCGCTAGGGGGAAACCTTCCGACGACCGTGCACACGGCATGCACACACCTACTTGGATTGGACACGAGCAACACATCTTGAAGAACAACAGTTACGAGAGGTAGGTAACCGTTTTTTTCTAAAGCCCCTCCGAATGTATTCCTCTTCCGGGGGCCCTACTGTGTCCTGTCTGCTCTGCTGGATTGGAAACTCTTCAAGGCAGAGCCCGTCTCCTTTCTGGGTCTTGTCCAATGCTGAGTGCACACACGCCTGGTTACTTAACAAACCCGGCCTTACCCTCTAGCCGTACCTCGCACGTGAAGCGTTCCCCCGTCCCATTATTGTTACCGATCCTGGGTGGAATTCACCCCGTGGCCTCCCCAGTCCCATGGCGCCGAGGTGGGATTTGGGACTTGAGCAATGGAGTGAATGTCGTTTGCTCTCAGTCTCGAGTAAAATCGAGCTTTTCCTTACCCAAAGCCCACAAGCCACCAAAGTAGTGAGAGCAAATGAGTCACTTCTGGCCGGTGTTAGCAACCGGCTGTCCGTGAGCCTCACAAGTTGCTCCGAGAAGGCTGTGTCTACGTGGGACAGGCCAAGGACCCGAGTCTCCTCTCGCACTGCCTCGATGCCAGTGCAGCTCCATTGGCTTCACTGGCATTCCTCTTGATGGGCACCTGTGAGAGTGGAACCCAGAGCTCGGTTTTAGCCAGGGTTCATCCCAAAGGCAAGTGGGGGTTGTGAGATAAACTACAATCAATGAGCAGATGTGTGGGAAGCACTGCAGGGATCGAACACAGCTTGGTCCATCTCCAAAGGCCCTCACTGTGAGGAAGCCTTGTACCTAGACAAGACTGAGAACTAGTAATGAGGTGGGATAATTTGTCCCTTGATTGTCCCGCAAGCAATAAAAGCATATTATGCAGTGATCCAGCACAAGGCTCGGACTCCACATTACACTGCACTTGCAAGTCAAAGGTAGCCTTTGGCCCTCTGCATTTAGGGCTAGATTGTGCAAGTTGGTGGACTGTGGGGTAGAAACCTGGGTACCTCTTTCCCTTACAAAGTTCCTATAGGTGGCAGCATGGTCCAGTGGTTAAGGCATGTCCTGGGAGGTAGGAGACTTGAGTTCTTTCCCCAGGTCTGCCTATAACTTTTGGGTAAGTCAGTTGCCCAATCTATAGAATGGGGCAGTGATCCTTCATCTTAGAAAAGAGATGACTAAGCGAGGATAGGATTGAGGTTTATAAAATCATGGCTGGTGTGGAGAAAGGAAATAAGGAAGTGTTATTTACTCCTTCTCATAACACGAGAACTAGGGGGCACCAAATGAAATTAATAGGCAGTAGGTTTAAAACAAACAAAAGGAAGTATTTTTTCACACAGTGCACAGGCAATCTGTGGAACTCCTTGCCAGAGGATGTTGTGAAGGCCAAGACTACAACAGGGTTCAAAAAAGAATTAGATAAGTTCATAGAGGATAGGTCCATCATTAGCTATTAGCCAGGATGGACAGGGATGGTGTCCCTAGCCTTTGTTTGCCAGAAGCTTGGAATGGGCAACACTTGAGATTACCTGTTCATTCCTTCTGGGGCACCTGGCATTGGCCACTGTCAGAAGACAGGATACTGGACTAGATGGACCTTTGGTCTGACCCAGTATGGACGTTCTTATGTTCTTACCTCCTTTTATAAAGTGTCTTGAGATCTACGGATGAAAAATGCTCTGTGGGCTCAATTCAGCAAGGTGTTGAGTGCCCTCAACTGCACCGACGTCAGTGGGCATTGAGGGTGCTCAGCCCTCTCAGAAAGTGCCTGCCACTTTGTAGGGTCTTGCCTTCTAAGAGCTAAATAGCTCTGGTGGTATCATGCAGAGTGTAACTAGACAGCAAACACTCACTTCTACGTGCTTATCCTTTTCACTGAGTAGTGAAGCGAGGTCCTTGCACTGGTAACAATTGCACTGCAATGTGGCCGTGCTGTGTTTTCTTCTGTTCATGTTTATGGGGCTATTTTTTGCAACGGCCTGCAGCTAAGATGCTCCGAAGCAGCTAGTGATTTTGAGGGCCCAGCAGGAGACACCTGCAAGAGCTCTGATTTTCAGAATGTGCTGAGCATCCGTTGTCTGAAAATCAGGCCTCTTGAGAGTGTTTCAAGCTGGGCACCCAAAATCACTAGTCAGTTCGGAACATCTGGGCTTGTATGTTACAGTGATGTTGTCACTTCACTGTTTGGGAACCACCTCCAGCTGGTTTGCTCAGCCACTAGCCCACATCCGAGGTGACACCATGCATAATGCAAATGAACCTTGACCCCTGACATCTGTAGATCTCAAAGGACATTGCGTAGGTGGGCGAGCATCACTGTCCCCATTTTACGGAGTTCACTTGATTTCCTGCTGCCATTTGTGGGTTATAGACTATAATACCCACTGTCAGGAGTGACCCAAGCAAGGGCTAAGAGGAACGATGTTAGCTGCAGCAGGAGGTAAATTCTCTTTCCTCTCCCCAGGAGCAGACCCGTACGTGATCATAAAGTGCGAAGGGAAAAAAATTCGATCTCCAGTGCAGAAAAACACCCTGGCTCCAGAGTTTGATGTGAAAGGTCTCTTCTATCGCAAGAAGGCAGGACAACCCATCATTGTGCAGGTGACTAGAAGGCCAGTCTGTGGGGAGCCAGCGGGACTCAGGTTCTATTCCCTGATCTGCAGGGCAGCATTGGCTATTTCATCTTAATACTTTGTGACTCAGTTTCCCGGTCTAACAGTGATACTCATACTTGCTTCCTGGGGGATTGTGAGGCTCAATTATTTAACGTGTTAAGTGAAAAGTATTAATTTGTCAAGGTCTTAAGCAGAAATGTGGGCTTAAGGAGGTCTGGTGCTTTAGACAATGCGTAGGTACTAGTGGCCAAATTGTCAAGCCTTTTTACTAAGCTCTTCACTGATCTAATTCCCACTAAAGTCAATGGGAGTTTGCCCAAGTTTGGATTCCGTAATAAGAACTCAGTAAGGGCTTCAGGAGTTGGCTCATTATGAGGTACTACAGATACTTTTCACATCAAGTATAGCCTCTTCAGGGAGCCCTAAAAACAAAAGGAATGTGGGGTCTGGTTCTTCACTGCCTTTCAGCTCCTGTAGTCACTAACAACGCTTCCATGCTGTCGTTCTGACCCCAGCCCGCAGGGATCAGAGGAGGTGTGTATCTAATCCTGGGAGAGGCAAGGACACAAGTCATCACATCATTATTAAAATACCCTCTGTATGGCCAGTGACAAGGGTTAAAAAGTCCACTCATCCACCCAGGAAAATGATTAGCCCAGTGACCATTTCGAAAGTGGAGGAAGATCAAGATTCACCAGCTGCAGAGGTGGAGAGAGAGGCTGGTCTAGAGATTAAGTTCCAGGAGATCTGGTCCCCACAGGTTTCCTGTGCGCCCTTGGGCAAGTCACTTAGTCACTTTGTCTCTTTGTGTCCCAAGTCCCCATTTGTAAAACGGAGATAACTATACTTCCTTTCTTCCACCCTTTGTCTGTTTTGTCTATTTAGACTGTAAGCTGTTCAGCTCAGGGACTGTCTTGCTTCTTGTATGTACAGCACCCAGCACAATATGGCCCTGATCTAATCTGGGGCCTCTCGGTGCTACTGCAAGAGAACTAATCAATAACAGCAAGAATAGAATGATAAAGGCATCCCATATACCCTGTACAGATGTTTGTACATGCAGAATAGGTTGCAGCAGAAAGCCTGCATGTGACCCAACAGGAACAGCACCCATTTTGTGTTTTGTTTCTCTAGGTCTGGAACCATAACATTATAAGTGACGAGTTCCTGGGCCAGGTGGCCCTAACTGGTGACCCTGATGACCGTCTGTCACAGCAAACCCTTCATCTCCAAGACAAGGGGAACAAAAAATCCAGTGGCATTTCAGGAAGCATTGCTGTGAGACTACTCAGCAGTAGCAAACTCACCAATGTCTAGCTTCTCAAGGAGTCTTCTTCTGGAGCCATATATGTGAATATAAAATATATATAGTATATATACCATCTGCAAGAGTGTATGAACTATGCATGCATCACACTTGAAGGGGCCAGTCTTATGTTTTCAATGTTAAACAAGGTGCCTTTTTGGGAACCAAAATGATTCTTTTCCTCACACGAGGCATCATTTGTAGCCAATACTAAAGTGGTTTGTGCCGGTGTGAAAGCACTGGGCATATGGTACATTCTGTGACAGCCAGAGTGGGATGCCCTGATGCTGTTTGTTTACATGGGGATGTTGCGCACCCCCAGAGATGGGCAGATTGGTCCCACCAAGCAATATGCCTCTTCGATTTACTTGCTTGGTTTTAGAAATTCATCATCACTGAAGTCTCCTTTAATCACATATCTGTGGTGGCATCTCAGAAAAGTGGATAACGGGGGGAGGGATGGCTCAGTGGTTTGAGCATTGGCCTGCTAAACCCAGGGTTGTGAGTTCAATCCTTGAGGGGGCGATTTAGGGATGTGGGGCAAAAACTGGGGATTGGTCCTGCTTTGAGCAGGGGGTTGGACTAGATGACCTCCTGAGGTCCCTTCCAATGCTGACATTCTATGATTCTAAGTGGTGTAAATGTACATGGTCGTTTGTATGCACAGTGGGCCCAGGTTTGTACACTGGCTGTAGAGCAGCTGGAAGGAGAAAATGTCCAGTCTTTCCAAAACAGCGAATCCCATCCTCCTTGGGCAGGCGGAGATTATGGCTGCACCACCCAGTGCCTGCTGTCTCACTTCCAGCTGGGTGTAGTCTACGTTGCCAAGTATCAACCCCAGTCTTTCATTGATAATTGGGAGAGGGGAAATGGAAAAGCCAATCTGGCCCCTTTAACTAGTTCAGTAGTCCCCAAACTGTGGGGCGTGCCCCCCAGGGGGGTGCAGAGGAACATCTGGGGGGGTAGGGGGGGAGCACCATCCAGCCTCGCTCTGCCCCCAGCTCTGCTCCAGCCCAGGTCCAACCGCCCAGACACTGTCTGGTTTCTCGCAGTAACTGGCCTCTGCCACCGGGGGGCAGGAAGAGCAGCAGGTGCTGCTGCTGCTGGAGCCCGGAGGAGCACTCAGGGATGGCTCCCTGCCCCTCCCTCCCCCCACCTCTGGAGCACAGCTCCCCCTCCCGGTCCTGCCCCAGTCACCTCCCCGCACCTCCAGAGCACGGCTTCCCCTCCCACTCCTACCCTAGTCATCCCCCGACCTCCGGAGTGCAGTTGCCCCTCCCCCTCATGCCCCACTCACCTCCCCCCACCTCCGGAGTGTGGCTCCCCCTCCCCTGCCCAGCCCCATTCACCCCCCCCCCCACCTCTGGAGCGCAGCTCCCTCTCCCCTGTCCTGCCCCACTTACCTCCTGCTCCTCCCGGGGGGGGGGGGGGGAGTGCAAGTGAAAAAGTTTGGGGACCACTGAACTAGCTCCTAGGGAAAGTTACACAATACACAAACTATCTTGTCTATTTCTTACAGACAAGCAAGCCATAATGACAGGAAAGATGAGTTTTTACGGCCTTTTTAATTTCATCATATTGTATCAGGACCAAAATGTCTTAATATTTGTAATCCTTTTAGGTCAGTTTTTCTTTCTCTTAAGAAACAAAATGATAGAAGTAGGCTTTATTCCTCATCCACAGAAGAATCTTTTCTTACATCATTTATTTGGATCTCTTTTACTTTTAAAGCAGATTTGGGAGTGGAGTTATTGACATTCCATTGTAAATGTTGCTGTCTTTTCCACTTCAGTAACATGAATAGAAGTTTTAAGTTAAATTAGTTTGTTTGTTTTTTGGGGGGACAGATCAGCACTTTACAGTCAGCCTCGTTGGTCTAGGAGCTGTCTTTGATTTAATGCCTGCTATTTCCATCAATCATTTCATTCCTCACAAAGAATCCAGTATTGCACTTTATTACATAAAACTTTGTGGTGTATTATGTGTTAAAATGGGCTGGGAAAATGTCTTTGTATACCAAAAGCATCCAAGTGTCATGCTGTACCAGATCAAAGAGCAGTCCGAACATGCAGTTAAAAAAAAAAAAAAAAGCCAAAATTGTACAGATTGTACCTTCTATAAATAAATTGCATATATTTTATTTGAACGCCCTCAGTTCCAAATATCGTGGTCTTCCATAACCCTTTCACAAACCCAAGGGCTACTGTATGGATTGGGTTATTCAGTTTTAGATTCTTTTCAATAAACTTCCATTTCGAATTGATTTCTCTGCAAGCTTTTAATTCAAGCCAAGTCATGGGCATGATCTTAAGGTGAAGTCAGTAAACAGCTACCGGTATGCACACCCGATTACACTAATAAACATTCACTCAATGGGGAAAGGGAATGTGCGGGGAGGACTAGATTTGGGGAGCATCCTTCTCATCTGAGAGCAAACCCTTACACTGTGTAACTGGCCACGAGCCACACGGTGTCAAGGTCTAACTTTCCAGTCCCCAGAACTCTTCTCCTCCTGAAAGACAGTCGGCCATGGCACAGACAGACCTGCTGGAGAATGTGGCTCGGGTCCAGGTAAGAGCTGCGGTGGTTAAAGGTTACTCCTTTTCTCAAGCCAGAAAAGCAGCATTCCAGTGACAGTGGATCCCTGCCCCCACACTGTGTGAGACTCTGTTCTGTGCACCCCTTTTGTGCCCTAATTCTGGGCTGCTCGAGGGGCAGGAGAGGCCACCAGTGTAATTCATGTGCCCCTGGGGGGGCTTCCCCGGCAGCCTCTGAATCTGTGCAGTGCTACATTCTGCGGCCCTATTACTACCAGCGAGCTGCATGGTAGCCCTGACAGGAGTAGCTGCAGCTCCAGGTGATTTCATCCTTCTACCCCCCACAAATTTTTATTTACGTGCCGAAGAGGCGGTCGCAGAGGAAGAAGCAGGGACAGCATGCTGTGGGGGCCTTCTGAAAGCCATGAGACTTTGGGCATTTTCCTTTAGGTGTTGGTGGCATCGCTGTACTGGAGGAATTGCCTGGACTACCTGATGAGCTTACAGCCAGCAAACTCTCATGACGGTACTGTATGCTTCCATCGCACTGCTGGGCCCCCACGCCACACTCCCTCCCACTTTGCCTCCATTGCAGGAGAGTCACAGGAGGAAACCGAGTGCCCTCGTGTTGCGGCCCCTCTGCCCCATAGGGAAGGGGAGCAAACAGGAGAAAGAAGTCTCCCTCCCCACATAGGGGAAAAAAACAGGTAAAGTCCTTCAAGGCAAAGACCCTGGTCATACTCATGGAGGCAGAAGAAAGGGGGTGGCAGAAAAGCCCCTGCATCCCTCCCAGACAGGATGGAGCTCTGAGATGGGGAGGGGGCAGGAAGGGACCCTCACCACCCCTACACCTGCAGGAGTGAGTGAGGTGGAGATACCCCAGAAGGTGCAGCGGGGGAGCTGCTCTGCTGCCTGTTCCCCTGAAGCCACCAGAGATGGGGAAATGGGCTGCTTGCCCTCCGACCCCTGAGGCTATTTCAAGGGGACACTCAAAAAGGGCAGCAAATCCATCTAGCGGAGAAAGTGAAATCAGCTCAGGCATCACGGCCTGCCCTGTGGGCAGCAGCGTCGACATTTTCATTGGGGGCCCATGGTTAGGCACAGGAACTAAAGCGGTCCAACTTTCAGAGGTGCTGAGCAAACCAGGGTGGATTTGATTTAAATCACTAGTCAGGAAGACTCGAGTTTATCATGGATTTCTACATAAAAGTGCATTCTTATTGGTTGTTATAACCTCAATACATATTCTTCACAACTCAGAGATAGATGTAGGTTTCATTTTTAGAAGGTACACACTATACATTTTTAAAGTGATTTATTTTGAAAACTTTTCAGATTCGTTTTACAGCTATATCTGAAAATGAATGATTGTTTGGTTATTTCATTTACCAAAGGTAATTGAAGCAGATATTTATGAAGTCATTGGGAGGTGAACTATCTCCAATTCAACAGGTTAATCATTAATATTGGAAGGATTTTCTTGCCATGCTGCATTAGGAGGAGAACATCACCAGACAGACATTTAAATTGTTTTATTTAACTAAAACAACAACGTTATGTATTTTTTTCTTCAACAGCAAAACTAAGCATCTCTAATGGTATCTTCTAGACTGAGTACTGAGTCCCACAGGGTAGATAGAAAGATTAACCTAAATAATCTATACAGAAGCCTCTGGAACCCCATAAAATTGGGTCCCTAATCCATGAACTATTGGAACTCATTTACAAAACTTTCCTTAAACATTCCATGAATATGTTGTCTCATACCATAGAATTAGAATTTATAATCCCTATTCCATGATGAGATATCTTTGAGCTATAATGTATCTTAATTAAAACTATCTTTAGATAGGTTTTTTCCCCTCAAAAAGCATTTTATCAAAAAAATCCGATTTAAATTTTAAAAATCCGATTTTTTTTTAAATTGATTTTTATCCACCCTGGAGCAAACCCGACTACCTTTACAGTCAGTGGAAGATAGACATGCTTAGCACCTCTGACAGCCAGGCCACTTCCAGTCAGGCGCTTAAATATAGACTAATAGCTGAAAACCCATGCTGTCACCCGGGTGTACTTTGTAACGTCTTGTGTGTACACAACACCAATAATGGGGGGCTCATGTCCATGTGGTGGGCTGCAGGGACAGTGTTGCTGTTCACACATGTGCCCTGAAGTTTTTGCACGGGGCTGCCCCCAGCACACCTTCTGATACCCCACATGGCTGTTACCCCACTTTGTCTGATCAACTGCCAGGGACCCTTTGGACGCCAACACTCCACTGAAGTCTCCCAGTGGTGTTTGGACCTGGTGATACTGTAACCAAAAGAGCTCTCAGCCCGGCCGGTGGCTGTTTGCATCGCTTCATGCTGACTCCGCTGACATGCTGGGCGTCAGCGTGACATCCAAACAGAGTGACACCCTTGGAAGATTTGTGTAGGTGGCAAATTGGGAGGGGGTGGGTACATGCTGCAATGAGGGGCTGTGTGTGTGTTTGGGCTTCTTGTCTATGCTATGCTGAATGGGCAGTTGGGCCAGGTAATCCACCCTCTCTGCAGTCTCCCTCATGCGACCAATGAAATTATTGCATGCAGATTAGCTGTACAGTAAGGGTGGTGATTGGCTGAGTTACCTTGGATATCATAGGTTTCAGAGTAACAGCCGTGTTAGTCTGTATTCGCAAAAAGAAAAGGAGTACTTGTGGCACCTTAGAGACTAACCAATTTATTTGAGCATGAGCTTTCGTGAACTACAGCTCACTTCATCGGATGCATACCGTGGAAACTGCAGCAGACTTTATATATACACAGAGAATATGAAACAATACCTCCTCCCACCCCACTGTCCTGCTGGTAATAGCTTATCTAAAGTGATCATCAGGTTGGGCCATTTCCAGCACAAATCCAGGTTTTCTCACCCTCCACCCCCCCACACAAATTCACTCTCCTGCTGGTGATAGCCCATCCAAAGTGACAACTCTTTACACAATGTGCATGATAATCAAGTTGGGCCATTTCCTGCACAAATCCAGGTTTTCTCACATCCCCCCCACCCCCATACACACACAAACTCACTCTCCTGCTGGTAATAGCTCATCCAAACTGACCACTCTCCAAGTTTAAATCCAAGTTAAACCAGAACATCTGGGGGGGGGGGGGGGGTAGGAAAAAACAAGAGGAAATAGGCTACCTTGCATAATGACTTAGCCACTCCCAGTCTCTATTTAAGCCTAAATTAATAGTATCCAATTTGCAAATGAATTCCAATTCAGCAGTTTCTCGCTGGAGTCTGGATTTGAAGTTTTTTTGTTTTAAGATAGAGACCTTCATGTCTGTGATTGCGTGACCAGAGAGATTGAAGTGTTCTCCGACTGGTTTATGAATGTTATAATTCTTGACATCTGATTTGTGTCCATTTATTCTTTTACGTAGAGACCGTTGGCATAGACGCATGCCTTACTGTCGCAGCAAAACACACAGGTGTAATTCATAAAGAGGGCTGAGAATTTACAAATTGGATGGTAGCAGACCACAAAACCCAGTGATGATGCAACCTGGTGATAGTGTGAACTAAAACCACACCTCTTTAATTCCAGGAAAGTGCCTTCATCAAGTTAGAGACCCAAATTCTGCACTCACGCATGCCACTGAGGTTGATGCAGTTACAGCAGATTTACAGCGGTGTAACTGAGAATCAAATCAGGCCCCTATGTCCGTTTCCCATAGTTGAGCTTTCAGCCTAAGACTACATTTCCCAGAAAGCCCTCTCCCTTTGAGCCTCAATTCCCCTCTTCCCCAATTAAGCCACCTTCACAAAGCAGGCCTTTCCCAGCGGGTGCCTCCACAAAAGAGGAAGGAAACTGCCACCAGAGGAATCCCTGCAAACAGACAAAGAGGTGAGTGAAGTGAGTCCCACACCAATAGCACACACTCTGTGGATTATTGATTATTATATCACGGTAAGTATGTATAACCCTTCAGCCAGGTGGAGCCAGCAGCATCCAGGGCCAAGTTCAACATCTAGAGGTTCCTTTTCAACAATACAACATGGAACCGGCTTGAGCCCCCACCCAGTAACCTGGGAAAATTACACACCACCTCTGGGCCCCTCTGAGAGGCAATGCTTCCCCACTCACAAGCACAGAGTCTGAATGTAGAAAAGAAATTTTTAATGAAAGGAGGGAAGTCACCTGACATTAATTAGGGAAAATGCCACAAGCAGGATTCCTAAACCTAAAACTGTGAGCAGGACCCCAACCCCAGAATGCGTGGGGCAGAGTCTTCTGCCTGGTGTTCTTGAGTTCTACAATCAAAAGTTCCTTGACTGTGCCCTCCTCTGCTCCCTCACCCTGCCACACTCACAGTGGTTGTCCTTGGTCAGAGAGCGTTTGGAGGTGCATCTGTGTGAGTTCACTTCCCACCCGAGGAAGAGGGCACCTTGCCTGCTCCACCCTCTGAGCACTTGCTCTGGCTGGCTGCCCTGCCAGCTGCTCATTCCACTGGCTGCCCCTCAGTCACCTTCTGCTGCTGCCTGTTTCTCTGCTGTAGCCTCTGCAGGTCAATCTCCTTGTGATGTTTAGCTCTTAGCAGGCTGGGCAGAAACACGGTCCTACCATGACAGGTTTCAGAGTAACAGCCGTGTTAGTCTGTATTCGCAAAAAGAAAAGGAGGACTTGTGGCACCTTAGAGACTAACCAATTTATTTGAGCATGAGCTTTCGTGAGCTACAG